CCCTTCATCTCAGAGTTGGACAATGTGAAATATTTCTCATCGTCCATCACGAACAACTTGTTGAAGAAATGCACTCTCCTCAGCGCGCGGTAACATCTCGGAATTCTCTCTAGTTGGGCCTCTGTATATTTTGGAGCTTTCCTCCTTTTTCGGAAGACAATATTGTTACTTGATAGGGTTGTAAACACCGCAGTCTTTCCAATATTAAATCTCCTGGCCAGTTTTCGATGTGAGATCCCAATTTTGTGTTTTGCTGCTTCAATTAGTCTTCCTTCTCTTATTTGGTTCAAAACTGCGGCCGACCGGATTTAGGCAAATTTACACATGGTATCCCTTCTTCACATTCTTTGATTGTGCGATAAATTGTTGATTTGCTAATGTTTTCATCCCGATAAATGACAACAATATCTCGTTTCGCCATTCGCCCGGCAAAATTATAAACTCCTCGACGAAGATCAATTTTATAAGACATTTTAAGAAGCAGAACCCCTAGATAAATGCAACAAGTTTAGATTGGAAAGCCCGTAAAAATTTTAGGTCGCGAAATTATTTTGGGTCGCGACCGTTATACGCGATCTGGCGCTGCTATATCGGTCGCTAAGAACAACGGCAAACAAAAACAGAAATAATTTTCTCTTGTCAAAGTCAGAATCTTCAAAAATCATAATAATCTTTCAAAATCTAAACCGCTCTTATTAAAGAAATTCCGAAAAGTGTTTATAGCGTCCATTTTCAAAGTAATTATTGCTATCTTGTGAGTTTAATTCAAGTTTTATTTACTCCAATCGGTGATAATTGTGAAAAAGTGGCATTAAAAACTTAAAAAACTGTGCTGTTAACTGTGAACTGCAAAAACCATCGTGGATCGTGGCATAACGTCGGTTTCCAATGTTTCATAGGTATTTCATACATGCGTCCTTATATAAAATAAAGTTTCTTGTATGCAACACACTGTATTTTATTTATAAAATTAAACGAAAATAATAATAAATTTGAATAAACAATATTTGGCGATATAATTCAGGAAAAAGCCGAACCGCTCCGAAATTTTTAAAAGTTTTGGGTCGCGACCGTTGCAAGAATAGCGCCAAATAGTGTTTACATTGTCCTTATGGGCACTTTCCAATCTAAACTTGCAGAACCCCAAATTTTTTGCGTTGTTTATTGAAGTGACATGACTGATGACATTTCATTACCATGACTACTTCATTAAATGCATTTTATTACTTAACCAAACCAGACGAAAATTTTCCCAAAACTTTAGAACCATACTATCTATCATTCCAGGTTAGTTACCAGGTTAGTTATATTAGTTAATCAGCACAAAAATCTGCCAACAGTTTTAATCGCCTGCTGAAACGTGGGTTCAGAGTTCAAAGTAGTATCTAGCATTAATCTAGTGTTTATTTTGCTTTCTTCAATTCCACAAATTTCTAAATTATTTTGTTTTATGAACAACTAAGCAAGGCGAAGTAAAACATTTTCTGGTTAAGCAAGAAAAAACGCCTTTCGTCCAATTTAAGTCTGAGAAAAGTTTCGATCGGGCACCTCTCGGGAAATTCGGAAAAACTTCCTAGCGTTTACTATTTGGAGTTTCCGTACCGGTCGCAGGGTCGACTCTGATTGTAGTTAGCGATGTTTATGCTGTTTGTTTTCGTATTTTCCGGAAATTATCCTTAGTTGGAGAGAGCAATCGAGCAATTGGCAAATTACGTATAGTAAATGTTCGTCTTTTTCAAGTTTGGTTGAATGGTTTTTATTGTAAATGTAGGATATAGTGATGGACATTACGATTCTTTTAAGTGAGTCGAATCACACGATTCAATTTATCATATTGAATCGACTCTTCATTCATTTAAAAGAACTATATATGCACATTTTACGCAAAAGAATATACATACATTTTTTTTCTAAATAACTTTCTCATCGCTTGCATTTTATATCCATGATATGTGTTTAGGGACTTTTTTTTGTTCGTCCCTACTATAAAAATACGCGGTCTTTTCATAATTATGGACCTATAGAACATAAAATATTAATACATACTATTAAAATAGTAATTAGTGAAGTATATTTATATTAGTGCTAGAAACGTTTGGATAGCTCATAACATTTAATTCTAATATTGATTTAAACGAACCGTATTGTAAACAATTAATAAATTCTGATGATTCTTTGAACGAACAAATCGTAGGAATGAACTAGCCGCATTGTGAGTGGTGCTGTGTGAGCTTAAGATTCTTTTTTTTACGACTTGCTCGTTCAATTTTATGGGTCTGTGCTGGTTATGATTCAATTGAACAAACTACATTCTGGATAGTGATCCGATTCAATTCTTATGATTCATTTTTACGGCTCATTTATATACACAAATGATTGATATATACGCCGAGCTATTTTATGGATCCACCACGATTAATTTGAACGAACCGTACTCCAAGCGGTAAATCGATTCATTTTTAATACTCGTTCAAATGAACGAATCGTTCAATTTTTGCCTACCTCTAGTAGGAGGACTGAATTACTCTAAACATTAGTAATATAAGACAAAATTTAGTCGAATATGTTGACACAGGTTTGGGATGAATATTGGAGTTTTGCTTTTATACATATACTTTTTGAAAAATAGCATTTATGAAAATAATAGAATAGTAATAAGAATGTTGTGAAAACTGAAAGAAGCCGATTTACAAAAAGAGCGAAAATATTAACAAAAAACATAAAATGAATCAGTAAACCAGCAACATTTCTAAAAAGTTTAAAAATGAATATGGCAATTAGGCAGCATTGTACAAATAGAAAAATTGGAAAAAATATGAAAATATACAAAGTGAGTCTTAAATAAGTGCAAATATTTTCAGGGCTGGTAGATCTCGACAAAAGGAACATACTTTCTCTTAGCCATTTTTCAAATAAGTCCAAAATAAGCGAGTTATTTTACTTTGAAAATTTAAAAAAATGATATTTTGCTTAAATTTTGAAAACCACTGAATCTTTTCTAAATTCTCTTACCTTAACAATTTAATCTGTTATGTTTTTTTGGCTATAAATTTTAAAAAAATCCTTTTTTTTTTCGAAGATTCGCCATGCGTAAAAAGATAATTTTTTTATTAAAAAATTAAATTACCTTTCAGATGACTCTAAAGAATGTTTTGCATTCGACACGTTTGTGACAAATTACATTATCTCTGTTTTAATGTAACTTATTGACGGTTTTTGTGTTTACATCTGAAACGATAACTAAGGTATACATCATAATTTATTAGACATATAGATGTTTTTTAAAACAAATTAATTTAGTTATTATATTACTTAAAGACACGTTATCTTTGCGATAAGAACTATATGTCAGAATGTTTGTTGATATATTTATATTTTAAATTGCAAGATTAATTGAGATTAAGAAAATAGTAAATCATTTTGTTTTTACCTAGGAGCGATATTAAATATAGGAACTATTCTTTACTTGTAAAGTTAAGATTTAAAGTAGTTTAATATAATTATTAATTGGGTATGTTGGTTTACGTATATGTATGAGAATTTGCATAGAATATTGTGCCCTTCAGTGACGAAAGTAAGTACTCAGAAACGATTTTTAAAATTCATACCCTAAGAGGGTGAAATTAGGGGAGAAATTTTGTACAAGTGAACTTTTGAATATTTGTGAAAAAAATTTAATGGTTCTAGACGTATTAAATTAACACGCAGAGGTCTATTAAATGAAAAATGTGGATACTAAGAATGAATTTTTCAAAATATGTCCCTTAAGCAGGTGAAATTAGACACAAAAGTCGACAGCTGTTGACAAAATTGACAGCAGTATCAAAATCAGTAAAAAGTAATCATAGTAATCAAAGTAACGAATATTTGAAATGATTACTTAGTACTCGAGTAACGATTAGTAACGAGTAATCAAAAGTAACGAAAATCAACATCACTAATGAGTGGTATTCGGATCAAATTATTCGTATACCTAATACAAAAATTTAAGTATCTGAATCATCCTAATATTTAGATATCCGGATTGGCGTTATATGGATATGGACTTTAAATTTCTCTTTAGTACCGTATGGTAATCTGTTAAACCGGATGAATTGACTATCCGTACAATACGGATACGAGTAGCATACGGCGGCACTCGTATATACTATTCGGATGAATAGAAGAATTTGTTTGACGTTCGTCTTCTACTTTCAACTAGAAATCAGCTATTACTATCATACGACCATTGTGTTTTATAGAATTCGCATTTGATAACATTTTTACAATGCAATACTATACATATTACATATAAATACGACCCATAATAAATGCTAAATACTATAAGTAGTAATTAGTAATAGTAATAAAATTAACTGTATTGTTTTAAATTCGGTACTCGTTACTTCGGGTATTGATGAGTAACAAGTTCTCGAGTAACGAGTTTTTTCAACATCTCTACCAGCCATCACTATGCAATTAATGTTTTCTCGCTATTGGTAAAGATAACCTTATAGTCTTTTCACTCTACTTTTTTATGAAACCACAGATGCCACCAACATAATTTTTTAGCCCCTTTCATTTCTATCATTTTAAAAATATTTCAATTTTAGGCACCGCTGGTGTCTTAGTTGTCTGACAATTAATAAAAAAAGGATTCTTATGAACCTTTTTACGTGGAATCCACAGTGATTCAATTAGCATTTTTCGCAATATTTTTGTGTTGAACATATTAAGCAAAGTTTAGCGTTTTTTAACAGGAGCCACCTATATCCTGATCGTTATCAGTACCCCAGATTAGACGTAAAAGTGTCGGAAATTGCAAAATTTTCAAAATCACTGTGTATGGTAGAAACTAAAGGGCCCCTGAACATTTTGTATGCACCACCTTTGATTTTACAAAAATTATCTTAGGTTTTCACAAACCTTAAAGTTCTATCATGATTAATAAACTGAAAATCTTTAGTCATTAAATTATTTTTTCCAGTAACCGAGGAATGTGTATATTTATAATAAAAAGAAAAGGATAAGAAAGCAGTACTAGGACAGACATTAAAAGGCAGTATTAGGAGTATGTACCTAGAAATAGACAAATAACATGTTTTTAAATTAATCTTTCAATAATCCTATCTTGCAACAAAAACATGAGTTTATCAAATAGATACAATAACCGATATCGGTTTCGTGAAATCTATAACGCTTCTTAAGCTGATATTAAAATAATTTATAACAAATTAAATCTCTTATTCGAGTCAACAAAAAGATTTTTGAAACTGTATACTACAGATAACTGGAATAAAAATGTAGTAGGAAAAAATAATATGTTACATGTCGCTACTCCAGAAGCTAGATGAGATAAGACCGCAGTATTCGAGAGAGCCACTCCCCAGCTATTTGTCTAATCGTTTTAAGAAAATGAATCCGCTATTGTGGTGGGTGTTACTTGTGATCCTCCTTATTATAATCAGTGCTATGACGGTGTACCTATTCTACGATCTATTTAATAGCTGTTCCGAACAATCGAACGACAAATCAGATCTGGAGCTGTACAAACCGCCACCGCAAGCCACTCTAGTGAAGTACAAGTTTGACAAATCGGACGTGGAGGATCTCACTAATATCCAAGGTCACTTCCAGAAGACTCTTTCCAAAGTAATTCTGGTGAACGAGGTGGAGAAAAAATTTGAGAATCCCAGTCGGAGAGGAAGTGTACAACCACCAAGTAGGAAGTACTCTCTGTTGCAGGATATACACGAAAGTGTTCACTTGTTCAACGGGTCTTACAGCGTACAGGACATCATGAGCGAGCTTCAAGAAGAAAGAAGCAGCCAAAGAAGTACCGGCAGAAGAATGAGTACTCGCAGTGTAGTAACTGAAGGTAAGGATAATATTAATATTAATTAAGATGCCGTAGTTATTTGCTTATAAAATATGTACAGGCTGTCCCACTAAGCGCGTTTTTTCGAAAAAGTTAAATACGATAGTATATCTAATTTTAGCTGATACTAAAGAGTAATAAAAGTTTAAAAATTCAGCGAAAACCGCATCTTGATATATTTTTTAAAATCAAAGTTATTAGCAAAATTATAATAAGTACGAAAAAATAAGCCCTTAATTATCTTTCTAACACAGTATCCCTAGCCCCCTTGATTATGACCATTCTAACAAAAAATAAGATAGAAAAGATTGTTTCATTCAAAAAATCGACAATGTACCAAAATACCATAATACTAGGTGTATTAATATCTAATAATTAAGATATCAATGAAAGTGGCTTTGGAAAAAAGTTGCTTTTAAAGAGATAGTATAAACTCAAAATATTATTATAATATCAACAATTTGATAGTCTCAGCAGCGTTTTTTTATCTTCGGATTGCTTTTCTAAAAATGCCTTTCTTCAAAAGAGAAAAAACGCTGCTAAGACTATCAAAATGTTGATTTAATAACTCTTTGACGTTTATACTATTACGTCAAAAGCATCTTTTTTAAAAGCCTACCATGACTTCACTGAGGCGTCGCGTCGTTTCTAATTCATTGTCATTGATATCTTAATTATTAGATATTAATACATCTGGTATTATCGTATTCTGGTATATTGACAATTTTAGAATAAACTAATCGTTTCTATCTTATTTTTTATTAGAATGGTCATAATCAAGAGGGCTACTGTAACCGTGTTAAAAAAATAAGGTAATGCTAATTTGCTAATGTCTTCGGTTTGAAAGGGGATATCAGATTGTGGCTTTTGCTGACTTTTTAAGCTTTTATTACTATTTACTGTCAGCTAAAATTATATATCCTACCGCATTTAATTTTTTTGAAAAAACGCGTAATGTTTGATAAATTGTAAGACAGCGCCCCTTTGCGCCTACATTCAAAAGCTTATTATTACTGTTTATACGCTATAATATAGAGTAACGAACGCTCTTTTAAACGAGTCCCCGTTTGTTAGATTCCGTCCGTCCAGTCGGGAGTTATTAATGTTTAAATAAAAACAGATCTAACATTCCCCCACCACTTTAATTTGGAAAATGGGGGAAATGGTTCTAATAAAAGATATGCAAAATTTACTGAAGATTATGAATCTATTATTTATAGTATCCGTTATCTAGGCAAAATTGTGTAAAAACTCCTTTCTCTTATTTTTAATAGCAGTTGCACCCTCTAGCGGCCGCTCTACAAACTTGAAAATAATTTTCAGCAATTTCTCATGCTCTCTTTAGTTATAAATATTTTTTCCGCAAGCTCTACGACTAATACTTTCCGAGATACAGCCGAGAACTATTCTTAGTGGGACACCCTGTACATTTCTTAACGCGTTTATTTTATCGACAGTGTCAACAAAATGTAAGAGTTCTCTTTTATAATATTTGTAAATCTAATAAATTTTCGTGTACGTATGTAAATAATTTTTTATTTTCTGTAGCAGACACAAAACTAGTTTCTGAAACATATTAAGTACGCACTATTTACTATTCTATAATTAATAATCAATTATTTGATTAGAAATGCATACTTTATTTCAAAATTCAGACACTTCAAAATTACAGTTCATGTTTAAAGCGATACTTGTAGACACAGCATGAAACACACTATAATTTGAATTTGAAAAGTTGTTATTTTTCTTGATTATGTTAAAGAACATTAATTGTTTTAAATATTAGTTTTTTGTGCCGACAAACAAAAAATAACAAAATATGTTTGTAGGATTTTCAAAATATTTATTAAGCACTATTGATTTTGTATCATAAAATACATATTAAAGCCTTTACTTCTCTTAATTATATATAAAGTTTCAGATAAGTGTGTCCAATATTGATTTATAAATAGATAAAATTTTACCATCACATTATCACCATTTTAGATAGATAAAATTATTATAATATATATATATATTATATTATCACCATTATAAATAGATAAAATTTTACCATTTACATTACCATTACATCACATTATTTTACTTTTGTACGTCCCATTAGAGAGATAAATGCAAATAATTACAATTTGTCGTTTATTACTTTTTTTATTCTATAATCATCCAATACCATTAACGGTTGAAAAATATACATAAACTAGTAGAAGTAAATATGATATATGATGGAAAACTCTGAGAACAAAAATTGTTTAAGCCTTTTTTATGTCTGGAGCTCAATTTTTATCAAAAACATGGTAAAAATCGCACATCGATATCTGTTATCTGTTACTGTTTCGAAGTTACGGGTGTTTTCCAAAAATGTGCATCTTTAACAAATCGCTGTAACTATGGAAAATTGCTATGGAAAATTTTGTATTTTTATGAAAACTTTTTATATACTTTTTTTAAATTAATAATTTAAGAGTTATCAAGAAAAAAATTGATTTTTTTGTTGGGACATCCTGTATATTTTTAATTAATTGAAAAGAACTTAAAATTACCTTTCCAAAAATATAACACACTTGATATTTTGTTATAGTCCCTTTCGAAACACAGAATTTTTAAAAGTTCGCTATTTTTAACTATAGTAGGCTTTGAACCCCTTATTGATGATCTGCCCCCAATGGAACTCGAAAACATATTTTTAATTAATTAAATAATTGAATAGAGCTAACCAAGATCCCAACCGTTGGCCGCCGAGGCCGCTGGACTTAGCGCCTATGGATTGCGCCGTTCAAAACATACTTATTCAAAGTGGGCGAATTTCTAAAAACCCTGTATCTCGCAGAGGAATCGAGCAAAATATCAAGTTTGTTATATTTTTGGAAAGGCAATTTTAAATTATTTTCAATAAATTAAAAATATACAGGGTGTCCCATATAAAAAATCAAATTTTCTGTTGATAATTGTTGAATTATTAATTTAAAAAAATATATACTTAAACCATTAAATTCTACGTAAACAGATGCTTTGGAAATGTTTTCATAAAAATACAAAATTTTCCATAGCAAAAAAGTTACAGCGATTTCTTAAAAATGTACATTTTTAGAAAAAACTCCGTAACTCCGAAACGGATCGATGCCGATGTGCGGTTTTTACCATCATCTTTTTGGTAAAAATTGAGCTCCATACACCGATATTAGTTTTTGTCTCCTATAGAAAAGTGTATTTCCTTTTAAAAGCCTGTACATACTCACCCTGTACATACTCTTATGGCCACAGAGAAGGAAAAACTTATGACCTACTAAAAATTAATGAAATAGGTTATCGTTTCCTTTTTCTTCTCAAGGAAATGAGAATTTTAAGTAATTTTAACTATTTTCAACCCTATACCTTTAACAGTTGAAAAAGATACATGTATTAGTAGAAGTAGATAATATATGATGGGAAAACAAGAACAAGAATAGTATTTCAATTTTTATTTAATGGATACATGTTGCAAAGATTTAATAATGGGCGTTTCTATAGGGCCCATAAAAAACAAGTTACTTATGTCAACTTTTAGTAAATGACGTCTAGAGATTGATCTGACCAAATTTATCATCAATTGTCATTCCCCAACTTTCTTTGACGCCGTTTTTTATTATCATATGGTTTATTGAAACCATGTTTCAATTTATTCGAGAAAAACAATCAATGGCGTCTTGACGAAATAGAGAGACTGATGTAAAATCTATTGTTCTAGGTATGAAAAAGAATAGTCTCGCTTCTATATCCACCGGTTTCGCCTTGAGCGTAGATTCGGTGGATTGCGTGGATCCGACACACATCGAAATACTTCGAGCCATAGCCGACATTGAAGAAGACGCACAACAGCTGGAAAAGGATATAGAATACTTCTCCGGAGGTACGAATTCTCTGAGATTTTTCGAACTGAACGAGAAACTAATTAGGTACAATATTGCTCTGAGCGATATAGTTAGTTCAAGTGAGAAGCATCGCGAAAGAAAAAAAGAAGTGCAGAAATATATAGCTAGTCTTCAAAATATGTTAAAAAGCAGGAGCTAAAATCTAAATTATTATTAAATTGATTTTTAATTTTAAGGCGTATTTAATTATTAAATAGCTAAAGTCTGATAATTTATAACAGAAGTGTAGAGACGTGTATTCGGTCTGCAAAATATGTTAAAAAGCTAAAATAAAAGCATACTATTAAATTTTAAGGTATCCTTAAAGATCCATACTAAAGTCTGATAATTGATAATGTAAATGATAAATGTGAGTGGGTTCCCTGTTTCAGCAGGCACATTAGGTTTCTAGTTTGATTTTTTTTACTCATTTCACAAACTTATAATAAAAACGTATAAAACTAAATTATACCTACCATATGTAATACATTTTTTAGCTTATAGCAGATTTTCTATTATATCCTTATTCCAAAAATACGTACAATAATATCATTCTATACCGAGATGTACTGTATATCATAGTATGGTGAGAAATTGATATTTTTTTAAGATAAATTAGCCTCTTATTGAAAGCTCTCTCAAAATTGTAAAATAAAAATCTTAAACCGGAGGTATCATATAATTTTGTCTGCTACAAAATTCGCCCTACTAAAATTTGCAAGGTTGTTTGATACACACAGGGTGAATGCTGGAATGGAAATTTAAAATGGGACGCCTTGTTTTTTGTATCATAAGCGAATAAAGTATTGTTGAATAGCTTTGTTTTATTTATTTGAAAAAAAGTGTTGGAAAGCTAATTATAGTTTTGATTGGTTCATTTGACGTGGTACAGAAGTGTCCGAACTTTTCCCGCTCGAGTCAGGAAGCCCAGAAAATAGCAAAATTTGTCAGTATTCCATACATTAAAGAGAATTAAATTCGCGTCGAGTGAATACCACATCCTTCAATTCGGTTCAGTAATATGTCCTAAATCGAAAGTTGATGAATGCAAATATTTACCCACTTTGCTGAGAAAAATGCATTAAAGTTATATTTAGTGGTCCGTCATATGGACACATCATTCCAAATAAAAAAAAAACAAAGTTATAAAGTATCAAATTGCGGCTTTAACAGGTATGTTAAGTTTTAAATTTGATCAAGTACATGCCGAGAAAATGAAAAAAATCCGAAACTTACCATATGCTTTTCAGTGCCCAAGAAAGATAGTTTCCACCTCTCTGTATGGAATTACTTAAAAAGTCGTATTCTTTTTCTTCTTCTTCTACTTATTTGAGATCTAGTCGATCTGTTAGATTTAAGGTTGCCTCTGTAGGAGTCCTTGGGAGATGGACTGCCAACTGTCTTTCCATCTTCCTGGAGGTCTCTTACACATGAGATTCCCTTCAAGAGCTATGTGTGGTAACCTGTTTTCTTCTATGCGTTTTACGTGTGCGAACCATTGTCATTTTCTTTGCCTACCCCATCTCACTACGTCCTGTATTCCACATTGTTGTCTGATATTTGTGTTTCTAATTCTGTCTCTTCTAGTCTTATCCATTATGGTTCTTCGGTACTTCATTTCAGCGACTCTTAACATGCTTTTGTTTTTTTTGTTTCCTCTCGGATTTCTATGCAATATGTCATTATTATTGGTCTGATGCAGATCTTATCAATTTTAATTTTGTGTGTGTCTGTTCGTATGAAGGGGTTTGTCCAAACTATTTGCCTCAGACATCCTGATATGGCCGTTGCTCTGTTTATTTGGTTTCTCAGATCATTCTCTGGATCATGGTAGTACGACATATCTATTCCTAGGTATCTAAACTGTGATAATTGCTCAATAATTTTGTTTGCTATTGCCAGTTTGCATATTATCAGCTCTTTAGGGAAAGTTAAGTATTTACTTTTTTTTCTGTAGAGATAATCATATTTAGTTCTCGGCTTACTTGATAGAATTTATGAAGAGTTTCATGGTTGTATTGAGGAGAATTATGCCTCTGTAATTTTCAGGTGTAGTTTTTTGTCGTTTTTTAAATATAAGATTTGTGACGCTTTTGTGCCATTCGTGCGGAGTTTCTGATGTTTCGAGAATCTTATTAAATAACAACCTTAGATATTTTACTAGCTCGCGACCACCATGCTTCAAAAGTTCATTTGTAATATTTTGTCTGTTCCTGGCGCCTTTCGGTTTGATAGTGGTATTCCAAACTAAACGGTACGAAAGTGGTATACCAAAGTGTTATATACCAAAAAGCGGTATTATAGATAGATATTAGTTGCGAGATCCAAAAAAAAAAAATCCCAAAAGCTCTATCTGCTGTTCCTGTATTCACCACCTGGCAAACATGGCTCGATATAATCTGTGTTCCTCTCAGCAGTTGAAAGGAGCAAAGGGATGTATAATGTAGAATGTTTAAGAGGTTTGTGTGTTCCCCTTTCTTGAGTTATAGCGAGTTATATCTCATCATACAGTCTCAGGGCTTTAACAAAAGCCAGTATCTGAGACGGCTCCACAGAGGCCAGCTCTCCATCCTCGACAGCCGCCGTACCAAAGTTCATGTCACGAATGGTCGTCGTCTCGACGCACTCAGTGATAAGTGTTCTGGTGTTTCCCCATTTTCCCCACAGAATCTGCATTGGCCGTTGTTTCTCAGCTTCAGCCTACTGAGCAAAGGGATAGGTTAAGACTTAAACAGATGCTGTATACAAGGCTTGGGACATAGTAGCTTTTAGTCTTGTTCTTCTATAATACTATTTTATAAGTTATTTCATATACAGATTGTTAACTGGACGGTTACTTACTGGGGAACAGAATGGCAACACTGCCTATACATTCCAAATGCTAAGCTAAGCTACTGACTCGTTCCATCTCGTCTCTCGACGAGCGGGTCGAGGTTGTCATATTTCAACCATAAAGCTCTTGCCGCCATTAATAAACAAATTACCAACCTGTAGATTTGAAAGGAATGAGAGGGTACCTCTCGTGGGGCCCTAAAGAGCATAATGGTAAGTTTTGGAATGTTTTCATTTTGTCGCCATGTTCTTGATCAAATTTAAAATTTAGCAGACATGTTTAACTCACAATTGATGTTCTGTAATATTTTTTCTAACTAAAATGATGCTTTCCATATGATGGACGACTGAATGTCACTTTAATGCATTTTTCAGCAAAGTGGTTACCTTTCGATTTTAGCCATTTCACTGAACCGAATTGAATGTATGTGTGCTCATTTGACGTAGAATTTACGCAACGGTCCAGAACTAGAGGTAAAAATCTGAAAAAAGTCCAAAAATTTTGCCATCTTTTGTACCTCCTGTCTTCGAACTCTTTCACGTCAAACGAGCCAATCAAAACAATAATTAGCTTTTCCAAATTTTTGTGCTCTTTGTGTTTTCGCAGCTTTGTGTTTTCCAAAAAGTGACCCCTCTAATTTGATTAGCTTATAAAACAATATTTTCTGAAAAAATATGGTTTTTCGAAAATATCACACGACACTTGTTTTTCGCGAGTGATATCTACAAAAACCATCGACGCGACACTTAATTGAAGATGGTTCAATAAATTTCTTAATGAATTTTTTACTTGTCGAATTAGTAAACATGCTTAATTTTACGCATGCAGCTGGAAAATTAATATATAACAGAGAAATTTTAAAGGTTTTCATTATAAAAATAATTTATTATAATGTTAGATAAAAACTACGCTCATTTGTGTAAAAAAAAATACAGAGCGTTTCGTTTGAATTAGTGAAGAAAATTTAACATCAAGTTTTGACTCACCCTGTGGTGTATTTATACATACTTATATACAATATATTTTTTTAAAGAATTGAAAATAACATGATAAAAAGGGTATTAAATATTATCATTTATAGACATCTGATATTTTTAAATAGTTGTAAGATTAATTAATCCGCTGCATTATGTTTAATAGAGTGACACTGTCAACATCATCGGTATGTGCATCAATAATAATAATAAATTGGATATTAATACTTTAACAAACTAATTAAGTAATTGATTATACACACGCATCATTTCTGAAAGATATGAGTGGTACATCTTGAATATTTATTGCAATATTATAAAAGTATTAATATATATATATATAGTATTATAAAGTATTAATTATAAAAGTTGTTCGGATAAAATTATCCGAACAACTTTTTCTGTGGCGAATAAAAATAATAATAAGTTAAAAAGAGTAGCTAAATCTGTAGTTAAATAAAAGTCGATTTTTTAACGAATAATAATTATGTGTGTTTCATTACAATTATTCACAGTAAATCAGAAGAGATGCAAATATAATAATGAAATTAGAGAAAAGTTACTTACTACTTTCTTCTCATACTCTACAAGTTTATGTTATGCTAACATAACTCTTAACTTTTTGGCGAATTGGTTATCAAAAAGTTATTTGAATATTTATCCAACCATAAACCTTCTTCCTTCTTGTTTTAATATAAAAGAAAAGAGAGTTTATTAATAAAATTATGAATATAAAATAACATAGTAATGAAGTTTTAGTCTCTTGTGATCTACCTTTCCTGTTCCCTAGCGAAACTCTTCCACTTTAGGTTACTTCGAAAGGGTTTAGGTTAAGTTAACGTAAATAGCCTCAACAACGGAACTGTGAATACATTGAACTTACACTTCTCTGCTTAAACAATTTCAATTTAATAACATCTACTTTGAACGATAAGTGGGGAAATAAAACATTAATTGTGTTTATTTTTGATCTATTTAGTCATGAGAGGGTTTGAAATAGAGGTAAAATGTATTTTAGATGTTTTTTAGAAGTATTATCATAGTAGAAGGAAAAGAGTACAGTTGCACTCTCCCAAATATTTTCTGCCAGTTTTTACAATCTGTCGAATATCGGCAGATTGCAGAGCGTTTCAGTTGAGTTCCGTCCGTCGACCTACGAGGTTTGAGCGTTGCGTCCCAGCACAGAGACGGATTGACAAAAAATGAGTGTCTTACTGTGTGCTGCTATTGGTTGTAGTAATAATTAAAAAAATTATACTTTGAGTTTTTTTTTGAGTCATTTGTGATCACGTTTATGTTCAAGTTAATTTTCTCATGACTGATTACTACTGAATAATTTGATATTATTTTTATTTAAACCTCAATTTTTTATCGATTTAACTTTTGACAACCATCCCTTGTTTGCTGTATAATGAACTGCACCATCATTGACAAAAATTTAGTAGTACTAGTACTGAAAAAAAAAACGGAAATCCCGGTTCCGAAAAACAGCTCCGGTTTCGGAAACGCTATAACGTACCATTACCGTGAATCGCCCTATACAGGGTGAGACTTAAATAAGTGCAAATATTTTTAGGGTTAGTATATTTCGACCCCAAAAATATGAGGATTTTTCTTACAGATTCTTTTACGCAATTTTTTTTTGAAAAAAGTCTGGATTTTTTTTGGTTTTTAGTTAAAAACATAATTTCTTGATAATATGGTAACTGAACCGGAATCGAAATTATTAATTCCCGGTTCTTTCGGTAACCTTCGGGACTCGGTAACAATAACTAAAAAATTATTCTTTTATTACGTGAGAAAGTAGTAATGCTATTTTTTATTGTTCTTGCTTCTTGTTCTATTTCTGTAATGTTTATTATGAATTATTGAAGTTTAAATATGTTATATTAGTACAATGTGTTGTTCAATGTATTGTTATCCAATGAAAATCGCCTAACCAATATATTACTACAAAACAAACACATTAATGTTAAAATTAAACTTGCTTTAAATTAAAAAAAGTTGTA